AGAACACTAGCCTTAGAAAGAAAGAAAGGAAATTTACAAAGTGATAAATGACCTCTTACTGGAATTGAGCTTCCTCCATTCTAAGTCTGGGTCTAAGAATAATTCCTGGGTGACAGCAGGGTCAGGACCACACAAATGTCTTTCTTGCCCTCTTGAAGTTTTTAGAGACCAAGAGCCGGTGTCTGCACTACATTGTGCTCCCACTTCAAGTTGCAGATGACATTTGCTGTCCTCCAGGGACTCCTAGAAGTATGTGCATTCATTGGCGTTATTAACTGTAAGCAAAAGACACTTCTGCAGGACTTAAGTAGAAAATAAATTTATGAAATTTCTGTGGGCACAGAAAATGGATGGTGGGGGAGTGGGCTATTGGAGAACTGGCTCGGAAGTTATGCAGCTAGGACCAGTAGTCAGAATCACACTGTAGAAATGTCTGGTGAGGGCACCACAGTCTCCACCTCATCTGAGAATCAGCTGCCACAGTTTGTATCCCTGACATTGAGCTATAGAACTGTGGTGTCATAACTCTGAGGGAATACCAGCAAAGTGTACTGCTGACCCTACTAGGTAAAAACAAATAACTTCTGGATTCTCTGATTATCAGGATCAAGAACAAAATATTCATCAGGGGCTGTGTTGGTTTTTCCCAACAAAGAAATACCTGGGATAGCAGCTGCAATTTGAGTTTTCTGTTTTTACTGTATCTACAGTTCTTTTCCAATACCTATCTTCTGCATTATACAGACCACTACATTAAGTTGAAATATGATAGCAATCAGTACTCTTTCATCTTTCAAGTCTTTAATGGCAGCATGCATCTTTGCAATTCCTCCAAAAAAGCAGTATTGATTTTGGTTTTCTATTGCTCTTACAGAGGGAGCCCTCCTGAGGTTTCCACTTGGCTCTTACTATGTTAAAATCTCTTATTCTATGAGTTGGAGAAATGATGCAAAGACTATAATTAATGCAAGGAATATTTTTTCCAACCACATTCTCATAGTATGGAAATAGCCACAGGATGGGTTCAGAATTCCACCAAACCTATCATGAAGTACATATAGGTCAGATGCCCCTTTATCAATGATCAGAATTCTCATTCTAACTAATGAACCACAGTGGCCTTCAGAAATCACTAGTTCAGAGCCAGCATCCAAAATTCCTGAAAGATGTGGGTATTTTCATTTCCCAAGTGGGCACTTATCCTAGCAAATGGCATCTACTTATTCTAATTCCACCTCCCCTGTCAGCTGTAGTCCTGACTTGTTTAAAAACCCATGCCATGGTTTCTACAACTGGAATCCCCTGAAATGATTTTTCTAAAAATTCTGGTCAAATCAGAGAAATGAAAGGCCAAATTCTACCTTGTCTCCATGGCTACCATTAGAGTCAAGTCCTAGCATGCTCCATGGGGGCCAATTATAAAGTCAACCTAGGGAAAAGCTTCTACCCAAATACTCTCACACTTAGCAGATCTGAGATATGATCTGGAGAGATGAGCAGGAAATTCCCTTCTGGAGCTCCAGGGGATTGTAGAAATGTCGACAACTGGGTCCTTATCTTTCCTGTCTCTGGGCAGGCTCCTGATGGTCTTCCCCAGCACAGGTGCCTTAGATTAGAGTATCTGCCATATCCATCTGTGAGGATATTATAGACTGCTATTATTGGTATCTCCCAAATACCAATAACAACCACCAGGGGAGCTTTAGAACTATCATAATGACCGGCTTTTGTTTCCAGAGATATTGATTCAAATTCAGTTGGTGTGGGACTGGCAGACAGAGAGGAACCCGGATGTTAGTGATTTTTTTAAACACTACAGGTGATTCCAGATTAAAACATCACTAGACTAGGGGGTGAGATAAGGCAGTGGTTCTCAGCCACACCTGTACATTGAAAATGCCCAGGAAGATTTTTAAAGATGCTGATGAATCTTCAAACCAAAGAGTCTGATTTGGTTATTTAATTGATCTGCCTGGGTATTAGGATTTTTTTTTAAGTTTGCCAGGTGGTTCTAATGTGCAGTTATGACCATTAGGATTAAAAAAAAAGAATAAGAAAAATGAATCAAAGAATGAATCAATCTATAGCCTTACACTTCAGATTCAGTCTCTTTCTTGCGTGTGTGACAGAGAGAGAGAAAAAGTTAGTTTCAGGAGTGAAGATTATCCATACCATTTAGTATGGGGGAGACTGAGGCCTGAAGAGCAGAGAGGAAATAAGGAAAGAACTCATTTTTGGAAGGTGTGTTCTCTACCAAGCCTTACCCTATTTGCTTTAAATGTTTTTATTTGTTTTGTTTTGTTTTGGTAATGGGGCTTTAATCCATTGGTGCTTAACCACTGAACCACATCCCCAGCCTTTTTCTTTTCTTTTTTTAAAAATTGTTCTGAAACAGGTCTTGCTAAGTTTCTTAGGATCTCCCTAAATTGCTGAGGCTAGCTTTGAACTTGCAATCTTCTTGCTTCAGTCTCCATAGTCACTGTGATTACCAGTGAGCACCATGCTCAGCAGCAATTCAATTTTTCAAGCTCCCTGGTGATTCTGATACACACAAAAGTCAGAGAACCCCTGTACTTGAGGATGCCAAGAGAAAGGAAAATGACTGGAGAAGCATGTGAAATCAAAGGGTTATTTTGTGCTGGTTGTCTTCATTTTGTTACTTATTTATTTATTAATCTGTACCAAAAATTGTAAATATTATTGGGGTGCTGTAGAATGTTTTGGATGCATGTATATATTGTCTAACGTTTAAATCTGATTAAAGAGCCAGGCACAGTGGTACATACCTGTAAACTCAAGAGGCTGAGACAGGAGGATCACAAGTTTGAGCCCAGCCTCAATAACTTAGTGAGGCTCTAAGCAACTTAACAAGACCCTGTCTCAAAAAAACAAATAAATAAAAAGGCCTGGGAGGGGAACTCAGTGGTAAAGTATCCCTCAGTTCAGTCCCTAGTGCCATAAATAAATAAATATCAAATTAAACATATCTATCTCTTTATTTAGCCTGCATCTCTCCCTCTCTCCCTCACTCTCTCCCTCTCTCCCTCACTCCCTCCCTCTCTCCCTCTCTCCCTCACTCCCTCCCTTCCTCCCTCCCTCTCTCTCTTCCTCCCTCTCCCTCACTCTACCAGGGATTGAACCCAGAGGAATTCAATCACTGAGCCACATCCCCAGCCCTTTTGTTTAATTTTTTATTTGGAGACAGGGTCTGGCTAATTTGCTTAGGGCCTTGCTAAATTGCTGAAGCTGGCTTTGAACTTGCAGTCCTCCTGCCTCAGCCTCCTGAGCTGCTGGGATTACAGATGTGTGCCACTATGCCTAGCCCATTTATCATCTCTTTATGATGAAAACGTACAAAATCATTTCTTCTAGCTTTTTGAAATGTACAGTGTACAATTATTGTCTATAATCCCCACACTGTACAATAGCAGCCCAGAGCTTCTTTCTCCTTTTCTAACTGTAACTTAGTACCCATCCTTCAGCCCTTCCCCTCCCTTCCACCCTGCTCTCCCCAGCCCCTGGTAACCACCATTCCACTCAACCTCTATGAGATATGGCTATTGTTTTAATGTAGAATATACATGAGCTTTGTTGTTTACTTTTTAATTAAAATACAGTATACAGAAAATTGCAGGCTCATAAATGTACCTCGTGATGTATCTTCATAATCAGCACATCCATGTCACCAACCCCAGGATTAAGAATCAGACATTTACTCTGAGCCCACCAAGCCACCTGCCGAGGTAAAAACTTGATGGACAAGAAGTTCTCACTGAAGTTTAATAGTGGCAGACATGTCCAAGAAATATTTGGGGGATTTTATTCCTTTATGAATTTTGTGACAGATGAATGTGCAGAGATGGCAACTAATGCTTAACAGAACAGTACCGAAATAGTGGTAATAGGAAGGAAGAGTTCCACCCTGTTAGACGCCTTGGAATGAGGATAAAGAATGGCGGAGGAATCCATGTCCCTTTTCCAAAGGTCCTGTTTTACTATGACATACAAATTGGGCCATGTACATTTTCATATTAAGCTTTTTATTAAATAAACACATGTAACTTTTCCAAAATAAAAAAAAAATAGAATAGAAATAGACATCACCAGCTTCCCTCCTCCAGTCACTCTGTGACTTCCAAAGGCAGATGAGTTTTCCTGGTTTTGTACTTTAAACAAATGAAAGCATATACTGCGCGCCTTTTCTTGGCTAGCTTCTGTCACTCATCATCATATTTCTTAGGATCCATATATTTTATTGCACATAATTGTAGATCGCTCTTTCTCACTGTTGCGGAGCATCCCATTGACATGACTTACACCATTCGTTCTGTTGACAAAGGGTGTTTGGACAATGTCCAATGTGGGGCTGTTACAAATACCGCTGTTTATCTTGGAACGAGTCCTTGATGTGAATTCTGGAGGGAAGGAGCTTGGAAACGTGGTTTCCAGGCTGCAGCTTCCCACAGAGGTCTGTGGCGCCGCCTGCTGGGCAAGAGTCACAAGACATGCCCCGGGTTTTGCCTTCACTGCCCAAGTTTTTTCCCAGACCTCAGAGCCTTGTTCCCACCTGGAGACCACACCCCCCACACGTGACCGGGTCCTAGGCTGAGCCACCACCCAGGTCGCCAAGTAACCTTAGTTACTTAGTCCTCAGTCCCTAGAGTCTGGAGCAAGCCAGGAATCTCGGGGCTGCTCCCCCAAGGGGAAGAGGCCTTCGGATGTCCCTACCAAAGTCCGTGGCTTTGGGGCTGGGCTCCTTGACCTTGCTGAGCTGAGGTCCTGACAGGCAGTCTCACTGGGAACCTGTCATGAGAGTCCCTATGCCCTAATGGGACAAGCTCACCCGCAGTTTCCCTGGCCCCACCCTGCCCAGACCTGTTCTAGATTCCTCCACCACCCTTCCCCAAGGCCACTGCACCTTCTGCCCGCCTCGCTAAGCAGTGCCTCCTAGTCTCAACCCGGAAGGCTGGCAGGACGACGGTTGGGTTGTCTCAGGGGCCATGGAAGCCTCGGCAGAGCCTGTGTTCTATCAAAAGCTGCAAATCTGGGAGCCAAACATGGAGTCAGAGGAGGAGGAGGAGGAGGAAGAGGAGGAGACATCAGAGTCCCTGGTTCTCTACCTCAGGAGGCCCCTGGATGCCCCTGGGTGAGTTGGGGAGGGGTGTGGATCCCTGATCCTCAGACTGGAGGCTGTCAAGTTCCTCTCTCTGGGACCCTGAAGCAGGGCAAACAGGGCCAGCTCAAGTTTGGCTCAGCTTCAGGGACTTTCTGGATGAGTGGGGGAGGGGGGTCCCAGGCTGCAGCCCCAGACCCTGCTGAACCAGTCAGAAGTCTATGAGTCCAAAGGGACATCTGTACCAAGCCAGTCCCTGTCCTATCCGTGGTTGTCTTAGGTTCCCAGCCCCTAGCCCCCCTCCCCCCAACACACACACCTGCTGGACAGATTAGGGCTGGGCTACATCTGGCTGGCCCCTGCTCTTCAGCCTCCTCTCCTGCCTGCCAAGCCCCTTCAGGCTTCTCTCCAAACTGGCTGGCCCCTGCCTCTCCAACCCTGCTACAGACAATCCCTCCAGAGCAGGCCACAGGTTCCCCAGCTCTTTCCCTCTCCGGGTCTTTGCCCATGCTGAGCCCTCTGCCTGGAAGCCTTGCTCTTCTTGGCAAACTTGTACTCTTGCAAAATCAAACCCTTTGGGGAAACATTCCCTGTGTTCTCTTGGGATTCTTTGGTATCCCCCTGCCTCAGCCCCAGCTCAGAACACCCATGTCTGCAGGAACAAGGTTGATGGGCTTCCCGGAGCCTGGGCCCGGCTAGTGGCAGCTCTGCTGCTGCTGGCTCTTAGCTGCTCCCTGGCTGTGAGGCAGCTCCAACGGAGGGGCAGCTTGACGGGAAGGTTTGGCTCGGTGGCGGCCCCTCCAACCAGCGTACACTCCCATCCCACTGGAGTATACCATCATGGTGCCATCATCAGCCCTGCAGGTCTGTGCTGGGAGGGGAGGGGTCAGGGGTCACTTGTCCCCCACCACCCCCCCATAACAATCCCTTCCTTACTGCAGCCACGTGCTCCCAACTGGGCCAAGAGCTACTTGCTGCTGGGGGCAATGTCGTGGATGCTGGAGTTGGAGCCTCTCTGTGCCTGGCAGTGGTGCACCCTCATGCCACAGGGCTAGGTCAGTGACCCATGACCCTGACAGCAACACTCAATCAGGGCCCTGGGCTGTGACCTGAAATTCAGGTAGTCAGTGGCCTTGACCTCAAGGCTAGCTAGCCAACAGCACTGTTCTGTTTTCTGTAGTTTGAAAGTAATGTGACTGGCTTCAACCCTAGGCTGTGACCCTTGAGCCCAGGTCTTTATAACCTTGACCCCAGGTGTACTGTCTATCTACCCAGTTGTGCTAGGGCAGTGGGCTAGGTCAAGAGCCCAAGAAAGACAATATGAGGATAGGAGATATGGGGTTCGTTGAGAAATGCTTCTAGGAAGGTCCATTGGCGATGGATGGGGCAGGTGTTCCTCTGCTCCACACAGTGCCTTTGACACCTCACCTGAATGTACCGTCTCTTTCCTCTTGTGATGCTTTTATCCAGAGATGGCCTCCATGAACAAGTATATCCCTCTCCACAATGCCCTGATGTGTCCCAGTTTCCAAAAGGGCAATTTCATAGGTTGGGTTGAAGAAGTAGTAGTTGCTTTGCTGTTTGTATGACCAGCGTCCCAGGGAGCAGCTGCCCTGGCACATGTACAAAACAAAACCCAGCTTTTTTCAGATCATACTAACTTACCCTAGTTCCCAGCATACATGACAGAAAGTTTATGTCCTTCTAGTTTATCTGGGCATTCCTGACCAGAACCCACTCTTCTAGTTGCCTTGACCTGGTGGGGTTCCTGGAAATTAAAGGAATGTTCTAGGGATGTGGTGTCTTTTTGTCCTCCTTTTAAGGATAATACATTCCCAGGCTCATGGATCAGTCAGTAACCTTTCACCTGAGGCTGCTGAGTGGCTCTGAGCCCAGTCCTGGCCAGAGCCCCTGACCCCTTTGTTACCCCTTTGTCTCCTGCCAGGTGCCATGTTCTGGGGCCTCTTCCACAATAGCTCCTCAGCAAACACAACAGCTCTGATGTCAGGCCCAGCCCAGACCCTGGCCCCTGGCCTGGGGCTGCCCACTGCTCTGCCTGCCCTGCATTTGCTTCATGCACACTTCGGCCACCTGCCTTGGTCACACCTGCTGATGGGTCCGACCATGCTGGCTCGAGAAGGCTTCCTGGTGGACGAACCCCTGGCCAGGGCTCTAGCAACCCAGGGCACAAAGGGCCTGTGTCCACTGTTCTGCCATGCTGATGGGACCCCCCTGGGCCTTGGGGACCGAGCCACCAACCCAAAGCTGGCAGCTGTGCTAGGCAGGGCAGCACTCACCCCTACTCCAGCCCTTGCTGGAGATGAACTACTGAGTCTGCTGGCCAGAGATCTGGGGCTGGAGGAAACCTCAGCTAGGCCCATGCCCACCTTGGTGCCAGCACTGCAGTTTTCTATGGCCCAAGGCACTCTATTCACCACCCCTGGTCCCTCAGCTGGCCCAGAACTGTTGGCACTACTGAAGGCAGCCCTGCACTCTGGAGAACCCCACCCTGACCCCTGCCCACCCCTCCTGCAAACTGCTGCGACCCCTGTGAGTAGCATCCTGGCCACTGTGGACAGCAGCGGCGCTATGCTCCTTCTCACCTCCTCACTCAACAGCTCCTTTGGGTCTGGACATGTGTCTCCAAGCAGTGGGGTTCTGCTTAGCGATCTGGTGGACAGGTCTGCAACTAGTGCCTGGGCCTGCCCCCTCATTCTCCGTGTCAGTCCGGATGACACAGAAGCTGATGTGATGGGACTGGTGGCCTCAGGAAACCCCAAGATGGCCAGAGCCATGACTCATGCCTTGCTCAGCCATCTCACAAGGCCGCAAACCCATACCCAACACCAGCAGCAGCCCCAACAAGGACCAACAGAGAGTTCCAGCACTTGTGGCCAAGGGACCCTACTCCAGGTGGCCACCCATGCAGAACACTCCCATGTCTCCAGTGTCCCTAGTGGCTGCTGCCCCTTCGAGGGGTTCTAATGGAGGGGCAGGAGTCTGATGGGAGACAGAGTTGTCTCAAGCCTGAGAGCAGGAGCAGAGCAGATTCAGCAACAATGGGGTGCATAGAGACTGTGCATCTACTATGTGCCATTGTTGGTTCAGCCCCCAAACTCTGGCCTGGTCAGTTACCTGAGCTCAAGCTCCGGCATCCAAAACAAGCTGGATCACTCTTCATAGCATGCTCACTGGATGGAATTTCTGGCTTTTTTAAAAAAAATCAGATCTAGAGCCTGATGATAATGAGGAAAGAGCATCAGGGCCTGGGGCTAGCCCTGAGTGCATATCACCTCTGGGAAAGACAGAAGAATACCAAGCCCCTAACTAAGCTCTGGGCTTCATGGGATAGAGCAGGAGGTACTCAGGATCCTGCTGGCATCTCTGGCTTCCCCTCCATAGCCATCCTCTACTGATCTTCCTCAACTGAACTGGAAATAAATAAACATCAAGTCTCCTGGGTACCAAGTGCCATTCCTGCTTTTTGATTAATTTTCAATCTGCCTTGGAGGCACCTGATTTCAGAGTTTCCCCCATGACAGCACAGGTGACCAACATCCAGGGAGGATGTCTGAAAGCTTTCCTTGCTCTGCTTACCTCGTGCTTCCTGGGGCACCAGACATGCAAGGCAAATCTTTTTAAGTTTGCTTGCTAGAACAGACAAGAGTGGGGCAGGGTTTGAAGGGTTACCGGTTACCTTGAGTCCTGCAGAAGCACAGCAAGGCAAGCGTGGAGTAGAAAGTAAGATGCTTCATTAAAAGGGTAGTTGAACAGATTTCTCCCAGGTGGAAGAAGGGGACCCCGGGGCTGGGGATGTGGCTCAAGTGGTAGCGCGCTCGCCTGGCATGCGTGCGGCCCGGGTTCGATCCTCAGCACCACATACAAACAAAGATGTTGTGTCCACCGAAAAATAAATAAAATAAATATTTAAAAAAAAAAAAAAAAGAAGGGGACCCCAAAAGGCAGAATCTGTTGGATGAAGAAGTCCCAACCCTTTTATACATCTAAAATTTTCTTTGTCCTTTTACATTCCTCTCCTTTATCTTGTTCATTTCCCCTCATCCTGTGTATGTAATGGGAGGAGGGGGTTGCCAGTGGGAAGGCCAAAAGCTGGGAAACAGGTGGGCTGGAGGGGCCAGGGAGAAGTGATCCAGGCAGGAAAGGGGGCCCAGGGGAATTAATTAGCAATTCCCCTCAAGAGTTGCTTCATTAACAATTCTTTTTTTTTTTTTTTTAATATACCAGGGATTGAACCAGGGCATTCCACCACTGAGTCACATCCCCAGCCCTATTTTATATTTTATTTAGAGATAGGGTCTCACTGAGTTGCTTAACTCCCCGCTTTTGCTGAAGCTGGCTTTGAACTCGTGATCCTCCTGCCTCAGCCTCCCAAGCCTCTGGGATTACAGGCATGCACCCCTGTGCCCAGCTCATTAACAATTCTTTAGGTTGGGCACTAGAGGCAGGGCTTTGGAGACCTTAATATTTCAATCTCTCAGGGGCAGTTTCCTAACTCATATGGGACTCCAGCAGACCTAACTTACCTAGCTACACTAACTACCTGTCTTTAAATCTGGCTTCACAAGAGTTAGTAGGAGGTGTCCCAGGGAACTGGTTACCAGGGGACTGAAGCTGGGTGTATGGTATTCAAAGGTCAAGGTTGGCCCAGACCTCCCCTCTAGGACTGGGGTCTCTCTGAATATGATACTACGGGTTATCGGTGCTGAATTCTGCTCCCTCACGTATTGAAGTATAACATTAGAGAAGCACGCCAAGACAAGCATTTGAAGTAGGGTTTATTTAAAGAGGGGTAACATAGAGTTCTCCTGGGAGGGAGAAGGTTACATTCGCAATAGGTTGGAGCAGGGGCAGACTTTTTGTGGACATGTGTGTGGTGCTGGGAATGAACCCAGGGCCTAGTACACGCCAAGGCAAGCGCTCCATCAACTATATCCCCAACCCCAGGGCTAGTTATCTTGATAGGGTGGAGGAAGGGCTCTGAAGGCATTAGCATTCAATCCCTCTCCAACTTCCCAGATCCAAATTGGCCTCCATTCTGACTGACTACCTATCTTTAAGTCTGGCTTCAGAAACAACCCTTTCCAAGTCAAGAAGCAGGGGTGGCCAGAAGACACCCCCTTCTCTGCCATTGTAAAAAGCATCTCTGATTTAATATAACTCTCCATCCCACCATCTCTATCTCCCCCTCAGGAAAAAAAAAAAAAATCTTTATCTCCCAACTTAGTAATGTACCAAAATCTATCTAGTTATTTTAGCCCCAAACCTGGCATCCCTGTCTATTCCTCTTCCCTGACACCCAACCCATCACCTCCTCCAATCCCCACTCCAACCAACTTCTAATTAGCCCAAATCCGATCTGTTTTCATATCACAATGGTTTAATCCACGCATCTTCCATCTTCCTGCTTCTTCTACCTTTGCCTGCAATCCATCCCACACACAGCAGCCAGATAATCTTTTTAAAATGCAAACGTGATGTGAAACTCTCCAGGGACCTCCCAGCACACTCAGAATGAAATCCAAACTCCTGATCCTGGCCTGGGGTGCTGTAGGAGCTTGCTTCTCTGAACCCCACCCCCACCCTCTACCAGCCTCCTCCCCTTCATCTCTAGGGTTTTTGTAGCAGCAATGTCTTTTGCCCCTCCTAGACCTTTGCCCTAGGGGAGAATGGGTTCTTCTTGTCATTCACGTCAGCCCAAACGTCACCTCCCGGTGATTGACCACTCCCTCAAATCAGTATTTTAGAACCTACTGAATTCTTTTCAATTAGCAATATTTTTTAACAAGCATTGTATTCACACGTTTCAAAATTTAAAAAGCTGTCTCTGACCTCCGACATTCCTTCTTCTTTTCTTTTTTCCATAGTTATCTTTGTAAGTGTATTTGACTACTTGTTCTCAGCCGCCTCCTCCCATTAGAAAGAAAGTACATCTAATTGGTGGCTTTGTTCCATCCCGCGGCCCGGCTCAGCACGGTGCACAGCACCCAGTAGAGCTCAATAATTGTTGAATGGCTCAATGCTCGCAGGGGCCGCTCTGGGACGAGATGGATCGATCGCCCTCACTTGGACCTATTTTCCGAGTGGGATATGCAGGAACCCACGCCGTATGCTGAAAAACAGGAACGAACTGAGGGTTTTCCACCCAGGGAGCGGAAAGGCGGGCCCTCTCTGGCCCCGCCCCGGCCCGTAGGCGGGCCGACCCAGTACGCCTGCGCCGAGGCCTGACCTGGAAGCTGCTGTCTGCCGAGCCCACGTGTTCCGTGGAGCATGGCGGAGATCAAGAGTTGCGATGTGGCGGAGCCTGTTTCTACCCAAGATGCGACGCAGGTCGACCGCCATGGCCTGCTGGAGCATAGCCGCGAGTTCTTGGACTTCTTCTGGGACATTGCAAAGCCGCATCAGGAGACGCGGCTTGAGGCCACCGAGAAACTGCTGGATTACCTGCGCACAAGGCCGACGGTATGGTGGCGGGGCCTGGCGCAGCGCGCCGCGGAAGTCCCGGCTAGGAAGCTGCCTCGGGCCCCGAGATTTGGGACAGGGACCTGTGGTAGCGACCCTGGTGCTAAGGAGGGTGAGGGCGGGCCCTTTGTCACTGCTCCACACGGGGAACGCTGTTGATTCCTCAGGGATCCGAGATGAAGTATGCCCTGAAGCGCCTAATCACTGGACTGGGGACGGGGAGAGAAACCGCTCGGCCGTGCTTCAGTCTGGCTCTGGCACAGGTGAGGCGGGGCTCCTGGGCAGAGTGGTGGGGTGCAACGAGAACGGGTGTCTCCGCTGCAGGAAAGGGGGCCGTCTGAGTGAGAAGCCAAGGGCATCCTCACATGGAGCTAGTGTGAGCAAGGCCTGGCTACGAAGAAATTCGGGCAGGTGGAATAAAAATTTGAACAAGTTTTCTTTAATGTTTTTGAGACCCGGGCTGGCTGTGTTGCCCAGGCTGTCCTCGAACTCCGTATCTGCCCCCATCCCCAGCATACTGAGTATCTTTGATACTTAAATTAGCAGCATACCTCTTAGATATGGCTGCTGGGATCAGGAAACTTTGGAGTGGGCTCCAGCAAAGCCTAGCGCCCTGACCACATGCGGGATTTCAGCTGATCATGGGCCATTCTCTGAGAAACTTGTACAACAAAGAGTAAAAAACTTACTTCTTTAGGATCAGCCTAAAGAGGCTCAGAGCAGGTGGTGAGAATGGGGTGGGTTGTCTGCGAAACACAGGCAAGCAGCCTAAGGGGCATAGTCACTATAGGACCTACCTTCTGAATCCCTGGTGGGGCCGGGGCAGGGAAGCAAGATTCAATTTCATTTGAGCCGTGGTAGTCCATCCTCGAGACTCTGGAGCCAGGGTTTCCTGGGAAAAGTTGAAGGAAGAATGGAGGTTGGTGTCTGGTGGCACATAGCTGGGCCTCCCTGCTGAGCCCCTTTCTTCCTCCCGCCCCTACTCCTGGCAGCTGTTACAGTCTTTTGAAAACATCCCTTTGTGCAGCATCCTGCAGCAGATACAAGAAAAATATGATCTGGAGAAGGTGAAGAAGGTGAGCCATCCCTAGGGAAGTCAACAATCTCACCCTCACCCCGGTAAAGGGATGGGGGGATGGAAAGCATTTGGGCTCTTCTCACCTAGGTCTGGAATCCTTTTCTAGGCAATGATGAGATCTGCTCTCTTTGCGAACCTGTTTGGGGTCCTAGCCCTCTTTCAGTCTGGCCGGCTGGTAAAGGTAAAAGCTTTGGGGATACAGGGGGCACATGGACTAACTTGGAAGTGGGGTGGGCACAGTAACATTGCACACACCTTCTGCCCTCTATATACCAGGACCAGGAGGCCCTGCTGAAGTCGGTAAAGCTGCTGCAAACCTTGGCCCAGCACTACAACCACTTACACAGTCAGCCCCTGAAGGCCCTTATGGACATCCTCTCTGAGGTATGGGCTTACCACTGTGGGATCTATCACGGGTCACATTACCTGCTATGGAAACATTGAGAAGACTCCAATTACCACATGAGAACACTCTAGAGTAGCACTGTCCTATAGAATTATAAAGGTGTGTAACTGGAAAGTTTTCAGTACTTGTGTTGAAAAGGTAAAACTAAAGCTGTAGTTTGATAATATTTTAGTTAATCTAGTAGTGAATCTAAGATGCTCATTTAAACATGCAATCCATGTAAGGACAGATTCATTCCTTTTGTATTAAATCTCTGAAATCAAGCATGTATTTCACACTTAGAACACATTTCCTTTCAGGTAAAATACATTGGTAGCCATGCGTGGCTAGTGGTTTTCCTGCTGGGCGGCACAGGTTTTAGATAATGCCTGACACACAGCGAGTATGTTAAACATTTCTTGTTATTGTGGTCAAGGCTGACCTTTCATGGGCCTCCATTGCCCTTCCTGAGACTGAAGTAGGTTCATACTAGAACCATTTGCTACTGAAGAAAAAGGAAGGGGCCTGACATGTCCCAGACTGGCTTTCTGTGCAGTCTTACCTCAAAGCCAGAAGGACCTGAATCCAAATCCTATCTCTTCACATAGGGCCCTTATATAAGAAATGGGTTCATCCTCTATAAGACCAGAAAAAGAATAACTTGAAGCATAACTCCAGGCCAGTTAGCATTAATGGGGTGCTTTACAAACTCAGCTTCCTGGGAATTTGAGATATTTCTAGCAAATGCCCTGGTACCTGTCAAGGTAGATTGTAACTATCCTACTTCAGACTAACATAATGCCATGAAGCCCCATAGATAGAACAGGTCCCAGAGGGAGCTACTTTGTCTTAACCTGTCTCCCCATTACCAGGTCCCAGAGGCCACATTCCAGGAGATCTTGCCGGAGGTCATCACAGGTGACCTGAATGTAGTTCTCAGTTCCCCTCACCACCTGGAGCTCTTCCTATTGGCTCAGCAGAAGGTGCCCACAAAGCTCAAGAAGCTGATGGGATCAGTCGACCTGCTGTCAGATGAGAATATTCCCAGGTGTGAGGGAATTGGGTCAATGAGCTCGCCCTGGGAACACTGCACCCTTTTCTGCTAGTGGGTGTTTACTGAGTCCCCTCTGCCATCCTCCCCAGTCTGGTGAATGTACTGAAGATGGTGGCCACCTCTGTGAAGAAGGAACACAAGCTGCCCAGCCTGGCTTTGAACCTGCTCCGCCTGGCACTGAAGGAGGACAGGTTCTCACGGTTCTGGAAGGAAGTGGTAGAGCAAGGGCTGCTAAAGAAGCAGTCCTGGCCAGCCTGGTGCGTGTGGCATCATCTCCCCTAACCCCCCCACACACACACTCCCTGTATGGGTGGGACCTGCCCTGCAGTCCAGTCTGGGGCGCTGGGAGCTCTGACCAGGCTTTGTCCCATTCCTTAGCTACCTGTGTTTCCGTCTGCTGGGTGCAGCCCTGCCCCTACTATCCACAGAGCAGCTACAGTTGGTGATGCAGGGAGACTTGATCCGCCTTTTCGGAGAACACACGGTCACTACTAAGGTGGGCTTTATGCTGTGCTGTTCAGCATTGCCAAAAAGGAAGGGCCAGACAGCAACCTCTTCCTGCCAAGGAGGAGGGTCTGGGGGCCTGGGGGTTCCCTGGCCTCTGGGTAGAGTGAGCTGCCTGACCCCAGCCTGAAGGGAGTTTGGACAGGCTCAGGCCCTTCTGTCGTCAAGTCCACTTATAAGTGAGTATAGCCAGTTGTCTGTTTAGACTTCCCAGATTGCAAAGGATATGAAGATTAAACAAGTTGCAAGAAAATATAGCATGGCATTGACACATAGTAAGCATGTGAGAACTGGTGGTTTTTTAATTCTAGGATAGTGCAGCTAGGAAACTGGCATAGCAGGATTCAAGCCCAGGTCAGCCTGGACTCTTAACCACCCCTCCACACTGCATCAAGCTGGGAAAGCAGCCCATCCCCATCAGTTGAAGTGAAATGGGGACCTTCTGAGGCTGGAGGTGCAGAAACGGGAGATGTCAGATATAGGGAGACCTTGACACCAAACAGAAGTGATGGGGGAATAGGGAGTCATTGCAAGTTTTAAGTTCAACCCAGCTGGGTACAGAGGAGGGGTTCTGGACCTGGGTTTAGCCTGTAGTGGAAGAGGCTGGTGGTGTTAACCCATGCCTAATTCTTGCAGCTCCCGAACCAGTTCAAGTTTGTCCCAGAAATGAGCGAGTACATTGGCACTTTCCTGGAGGGGAGCCAGGATGACCCTGAGCGGCAGTTGGCTGTGCTGGTGGCCTTCTCATCCATTACCGAACAGGGTGTCCCTGTCATGCCTACCTTCTGGCGGGTCACGCAGTTCCTGAATCCCCAGGCCCTGCAGGACTATGTGGCCTGGCTTCAGGACATGTTTCTTAAGCCCAACCTGGACTCCTTGATTGAGTTTAGCACCAACAACCAGAAGAAATCCCAGGATGCTTCACTCAACATGTGAGTGGGCCTGGGGGCAGGCTTCTGGAGTTTTCTTCCTGAACTACTGAACCCAGACTCTCACAGTGTTGTGGCTTCAAACTACAAAAGGGTGCAGGGAAGAACCTTAGCTTTTAAGGATGGCCTTGGCCTTGCCACCCTGGTGTTCAGGGCAGGAAGATCTTGTTTCCTATCAAGATGGGGCAAAAGAGTATCCTGCTTTTGACATCTCTGAATGGCTTCCATGACCTTAGCTACTGTCTCTCCAGGCCTGAGCGAGCTGTGTACCGTCTGCGGAAATGGATCATCCACCGAATGGTGAACATTGTGGACCAGTTGCACCAGGAGAAGGAAGAGGCCTTGATTGATCGGGTGGCCAGGTACGAAATGTGTCTGCTTCCCAACTCCCTGTGGGTGGCATGGCCAAATAATTGGGTCCTTTGCCTAGTCCTAGTTTGGGTCTTCATTGAGCCAGATGCCTTCAGGTTGAGCCATTCTAGGGAGCAGCAAGCAGAGGGATTTAGAGGAATTCTCCAGAAACCTAGGAAGTGTGGGGCTACCGAGGCCTGACAGGCTCAGGCTTGCCTTGTATGTCCTACAGGCAGCCTTTGCACATGGATGTTGTATGGGAAGCTCCACATCTCCCATCTGCCAGACACAGAGCCGGGGTGTGTGTGGGGGGGGTTGTTCCATGCACACAATCCCACAGGAAGCAGCCTCACCAGCCCTGCATGGGCCTTGGCCATTGGCTGCACAACCTCACATCTGCCTTGGTCCAAGGGAGGGGCTCTCCTTTTAGCTCCGTGCTCAGCTGGGGATTCCGGCCAGAGAAATAACCCCTTCCTGTCATTGCCTGGCTGCTTCTGGCCTTGCCCCGTAGGCCCCAGAATCTGTGCCCAAAACCAGAGTTATGGCTCCTTCCTCCTGGTACCACACCATCTATGGTGCCACCTTAAGAGGGGAACCTGTCAAAACAAATGGTGCTGACAGGCAGCACTCATTGCTTTCCCCAGGTTTTGTTTGTTCCACTCGTTCTTTAAAACAAAGAATCCCGTGGATCAGATTCCAGAGACTAAGCAGCAGCTTTCCATCCCTCTGGATGTCCGCACCAGAGATTTCATCATCACCGCTTTCTTCAGGTGGGGCTTGGGCAACTCAGGAGAAGTCTGGGGGGTGACAGTAGCCTTGAGAACACTTGCTTCTTCCTATTACAAGCTGGGAGCAACAGCAAAGTTCCAGTGTGTTCTTCTAGGTCCAGGGCCTGGGGACTGAATCCTGGGGTGGGTGGAGGAATGGTGTCATGTTCACTAGTAGAGACCTGTGACCCGTCTCCACTCTTGCCCAGCCTGCTACAGACACTCAGCATAAAGTTCAAGCAAGCACCAGACCAGACCCAGGGTGGGAAGTCCTGGACGTACCACCTGGTGCAGTTGGCAGACACACTGTTGAACCACAGCGGCAACGTAGACGCCATGACACCCTTCACAACGGAGCAGCGCCAGGCCTGGGACCAGTAAGGGCATGGGACTTCAAAGGTGGGTGGGACACTTAGGTCTGGCTGGCAGCAGTTGTCTGCAAACATCCCTATCTTGCCACAGGATGCTAGAGACCCTGAAGGAATTAGAGGCCCGCTCCTCAGAGGCAAAGGCCACTGCCTTCCAGCACCTCTTGCTCCTGGTGGGCATCCATCTCTTCAAGGTATGGTGGTCTGGAAGGGAGGGACATAGGAACTTGGTGTTCTAGGGCACGATGGGTCCCATATTGAGAGGCTCAAGGGCTCTGTGGGGGCAGAAGTTAGGTTTCCCAAGATATCTCAGTCCTATGCAGACTTTGCAACCCAGGGGAAATCTCTGTCCACTTGCCAGACACCAGACAGCATCCCAAGCTTTCCATGCAGGGCCTCTTGTAATCCCCACAGCTTTGAAGTAGGCACTTCCCTGCATCTGAATTATAGGGAATCAAAAACAAGTAACTTGTCCTGTACCTCATAATAAGTGGCTGGGTTACAATTGTCCCCCAGGACTTCCCAGATGTTCCTCACTGACCAGAGGTGATGGATTAGAAGGAGAAAATGGGCCTTGGGGAGGCAATCCCAGCATCCATTGGGTGTGTCATTTTGATAGTCAGTTAAAAATGGTACCTAGTTTTTATGTTTCTCCTCCCTGCAAGACAGTGGTAGTGGCTGAGGTTTGTGTTTTTCCTCACTGTGGATCCTCCTGAACTATGGTGTCTCCCTTTCTGTTCTTTTGAACAAGAAGCTTTGAGCACATGTAAAGCTCAGTGCCAGCAACACTTGTGATCTGTGGGGTTTCTTCTTGACCCTAAGCCCTGGTTTCTTCAGAGGCATTCTTGAGGTGGCCAAAGCTCTTAATGAGGCTGCTTTAGGTCTTAGTAAATCTGAATAGACAGGTCCTGCCTTTGTTCTTTTCTCGCCACTTGGCTGAGGCTTTTATTTCCAGTATTTGGCATCGGGCCTTTGATAGCGATAGGACTCCAGTAATTCTTGGACACGTGCGTAACCTATCCCAGACCCTGGGGTCTCTGAGATTGACTTGCAACCCACAGGACAGGCACCTGCCCAGTCACACCACCGGTAGCTGGAGACCAGTGGCCAGGGCTTAGGCTCCCATTCCCCTGCCCTAGACATCAAAGCTGCCCAATGCATCGTGAAAGGGACATCTTCCTTCTAGGTACCTCACATCAGAGAATGCTTTCTACAGGTGCCCCACCCCCAACATGGTGGATTAAAGTTTAATTATTTTCAAGTTTAATGCCAAGCCAAGTGTGAGGGGTGGTAACATAAAATTGTGCATTGGGAATCTGTGACCCACTGGCTTCCTCAGGTTCTACTTCTCTGGTTATCAAAGGGGAAATTGGGTTCCATGTTCCCCAAGGGCTCTCAGATCCATATGTGATGTGTAAAAGGGTCATTAGCTCTTGGGCTGCCCCCAGTCTTCCACTCTGGGTGATGACAGTGACTGTCACAGGGCAGACAGTTACCAGAGTGTTCAAAGCCTCTAAAGTGCCAGCTACTCCTGTGTGGTCAGCCCCTCCCCTCGCTCAGCAAGGGCATGAGCAAGGCCCCTCCCCTGATTTCTCTTCTGCCCTCAGTCCCCCACAGAGAGCTGTGATCTCCTAGGCGACATCCAGACCTGCATCAAGAAGAGCATGGGGGAGAAGACCCGCCGCCGTTCCCGTGCCAAAGCCACTGGTGGGTCATTGCCCCTGGGGTAGGGTGGGAAAGGTATGTCCTTGGGGGTGATAGGGAGCCAGAACAGGGCTGACCTGGGTAGCCAGGCCAGCAGTATTGTGCCCAGACTCAGCCCTCTTCCCTGCTTACAGACTCACAGGAACCACCATGGGTGGAGGTGATGGTGGAGATCCTGCTGTCCCTATTGGCCCAGCCCAGCCACCTGATGCGCCAGGTGGCCCGGAATGTGTTTGGCCACATCTGCCCCCACCTGACCCCACATGCCCTGCAGCTAGTCCTGGATGTGAGTTGGGCCTTTGGGAAGAGGAATCTGGGGTGGGGCTCACCATATACCGTGCTATACTAGGGGTGCCACATCATCCCTCTGTCCCCTGTTCTAACCTGCAGTCAGAGGGCATGGGGTCCTTGCTCAAGCCATTGCCCTGCCAGCCTCTTCCAGGCACCTGAGGCTTGTCAAGGAGACACTGGTAACCCATTTTCTTCTGAGATGAGAACCTTTGACCAAGACCAGTGTCCTGAGGTGGGCTGGGGTACGGTGCAGTAGGTAGGAATTGACCTGGGAATCCTTCCCAGGTGCTGAACCCTGAGACAAACCAGGATGAGGATGACAACGTGGTGGTCACTGATGATTCCGATGAGAAGCAACTAATGGATTCAGAGGTACCTGGCGGTGAGGGGCAGGGCTGGGTGGGCAGCTGTCAGCAGGCACGTGGCACTGGGAAGGTCTGACTCACATGCCACCACAGAATGAGAACAAGGACAGTGAAGACAATCGAAACTCAGAGAGTGAAGAAGATAGTGAGGATGGAGAGGAGAGTGAGGAGGAGGAGCGTGATGAGGACGTGGACCCCGGCTTCCGCCAGCAGCTAATGGCTGTGCTACATGCTGGGAAGGCGCTGGTGAGCAGGAGCCAGGGGAGGGACTCGTGCATGGCTGTGGGGGTCTGTGCCTTCCTGAGGCCAGGCTGATGGCTAGGCCCCTGTTTCTCAGGGTGGAGTGGATGGTGAGGAGGATGAAGAGGAGCTGGGGGATGAAGCCATGATGGCCCTGGACCAGAACCTCGCTAGCCTCTTTGCTGAGCAGAAGCTGCGCATTCAGGCCCGGAGAGATGAGAAGAACAAGCAGCAAAAGGAGAAGGCACTGCGGGTGGCCTTCCAGATCCGGGTGAGCATGCAGGCCACCAGGACCCTGCCCCTCCCCTCCCTCTGCACAAGCTCCCATGCTGGCTGACCCCTCCGCCCCACCTTGGCCATAGGTGCTGGACCTGATTGAGGTGCTGGTGACCAAGCAGCCTGAGAACCCCTTGGTCCTGGAGCTGCTGGAACCGCTGCTGAGCATCATCCGGCGCAGCATGCGCAGCAGCAGCACCGCCCGGCAGGAGCAGGATCTTTTGCACAAGACGGCCCGCATCTTCATGTGAGCGGGGCAGGGGTGTAGAACAGGCCCAGAACCAAGACTGGGGATAGCCAGACCTTCAGGGTTACCCAGATAGGAAGATTGAGCCAAGATTGAAACCCAGGTCCAGTAATTCAAGCTCCCTGCTCTGACCTGCGGCATGTGCCACTCAGTAACTCACAGAGCCCTTAATGCATTCTCCCATTCTCAGACTTCATGCCACCCAGATCCCAGAACTGGGAGTCTTTGGGCCCCAGCCCTTCCCTGCCCTCGCAACAGTTAGGACACCAGTCATCCAGTACCGTAGTCCTACCAGGATGACAGGCCTGTGGTGGGGGATTAGAGACAGTGGGGGTCACTAACCCAGTCCTGGGAGAAGTGGGAGCTGCAGAATTAATGGGAGGTCATCAGGGGCCTAGGGCAGGACAGATGGGAGGAAATGTGAGGAGCTGGTCAACGGCAGCTGCAGCTGGAAGGCAAGGCTGGCAGCGCAGCAGGAGGGCCCATATGGGCCGAGCTGGTCCATGGAGCCATTTTCCACAAGAACTAGGGGGCAAGGGAAGGCCTGGGATGGAGAGGGTTTGGAGAGGGCTGTGCTAGAGGCAGAGAACTGGGCTAGGGCAGCAACTGGAGAGAGACAATGTCTGTGCCAGTTTCTGACCTGCCTTCCAGAACTCAGAGATGCTGGAAGAGAAGGTCTAGGGACCTGGGGCACCGAGTAACATTGCAGAGACAGGGTAGTGGCCCCCCAAGACAACCTCGTCCCAGCCCCAGGTCACGCTTGTTCAGACATTTCTGCCTTCTGCTTGGATAGTGTCCAGTTTGCCAACTGTCCTCCCTCTCATCCCATGCTCTCCTATGAGACTGTGTAGGATGTCAGTAGAAGATGGGAACCAATCGGGGTGTTGGGTGCCTGGGCAGCTTTTTCTTCCCTTTGCCTCATGGCCTCAGAGCAAATCCATAGGACCTGAATCAAGCCCTACCTGTGAAGTGGGGCTTAGGGTCGTTCCTCTTGTAGTTGGTTGGCTTTGCTTGGCAAAAAGTAAGGTGGACAGAAGTTCTCATTGATTCTGCCTCTCCCACCCCAAGGCAACACCTGTGCCGCGCCCGGCGCTACTGCCACGACTTGGGTGACCGGGTTGAGGCTCTGCACACAAGGGTGGAGCAGCTTGTGCAGCAGGCCACCCGCCAGGCCGACTCCTCTGTCGCCCTTTACTACTTCAATGCCTCTCTCTATCTGCTGCGTGTGTTGAAGGGCAACACTGTCAAGAAGGTCATCCACAAGAGCCAGAAGCAGAAGAGAGCCAGCACCAACACAAGCTCCGAGCCACAGGAGCCACAGGTAAGCCAGGCCTGTCCTGAAAGGGCTTGGGAGGGGCCCTAAGCTTGGCATAGGAGGCGGGGTGCCACCTCCAGCATTTTACACCTGGGGGTTTGAAAATAAGATTTCCCTGGGACCCAACCCTTGGCCTTCTGAAGGCAATCTGGGCTCTGCTCTCATCCTCACCCTGCCTATCACCTGGCCCAGGCTGCCAGCTGCTTGGACTTGAACCTTGTGACCTCGATATATTCAGGAGCACTGAGTTCCTTCCTGACCAAGCGCAACAGCCCACTCACTGCTACCATGTTCCTCAACCTCTTCTCCCGGTTCCCAGTAAGTATCAGACCCAGCCAAGCCCCCTGAGGGTCCCTACCCAGTCCAATTACTACCTTATGGCTCTTGTCATCCCCTACAGGTGATCTGTAAGAACCTGCTCCCCATCCTGATTCAGCATGTTGCTGGCCCGGCAAGGCCCCGCCATCAGGTAAGGGCCTTCCTTGGTCCCAGCAGAGCCTATTTGAATTTCTTGCTTAGCTCCCTTCTGCCTGAGTATTAGTGAAGCCCAGAAGCCCTGCCCTGCTGGTCTTGGCTGTGGTGCATGCTCTTCAACAAGCAGGATGGCTGATCTGAGGGGTAAGGCCAGCTTTGCTCTTGCAGCAACCACTTTCAGTCTGGCCTGAGCCCTTCATCTCCCTGCAAGAGAGGCACAAGAGATGCCTGGGTGTCTAGTTGGCTGTTGAGGCGGCTGGAGGGAGGTGGCACTAAGTTTATAAGAGGGCCAGGAACTATCCCAACTTGAGATCCCGCCCCCAGCCACTTGGGCCCCTTGCCTGTCCCCAGACCTCAGTGTCTTCCACCTATATGAGAATGGACACAGGTGGATGATCACAGAGCCAGAACAGCAGGGAGTTCATTGTGCATCACCTAGAGCCACGTGACCTTATTTATGAGGTGTCCAATGGATTCCTGAGCTCTCAGTGGTTCCTGAGCCTTGGCCCAACTTGCCAAGGCCCCGGGTAACCACCATCTATCTCCTTGCTGCAGGTCCAGGCCTGCCTGTTGCTCCAGAAGACTCTACCCAGGGGGGAGCTGAGACCATGTTTTGAGGAACCTGAGTGGGAGCAGCTGATTGTCCAGATTCTGGTGAAGGTTACTGAGGTAACAGCCATGGAGCGCCCTCCTCCCAATGCATCGAGAATGGTTCTCTGGGAACTTGAGCCTCCAGAGTGTGGTTTGAGGGTGTCCCAAGAGACATTTCCTCCCTCTGGGTTCGTCTGGTGAGTGGGAATGGACAGAAAGGCCTCGGGCACCTCTCCCAGTGCCTGATTCTGACTACCTCCTCCCTAGAATCTGCGCACGCTGGGGGAGGCGCAGAACAAGTCGGAGCACCAGAAGGAGCTATCTTCCCTGGGGCTGCTCAACATTCTCCTCAAGAGTCACAAGGTGAGGCAGCAGCCTTGCAGCTGGGCCCAGTCAGGAACTTGCATTGCATAGGGTTCTGGCAGCAGACTTCCCAGGAGAGTCAGGGCTTCATGGCAACACGGAGATCACCAGGCAGGACTGTGGGGGCTGGGTGCCAGTGGGAGAAATCAGACTGTCCTGATTTAAGTGACTATAGAGCCATGTGTGGTTGAAGGTGACGCTTGGGAAGACAGCATCACACTTGTGGCTGACAAGGTGAGGTGTTTGCAGGCTTCAGTAAGAGAACTGAGAAGGGTCTGGGAGCACTGGAGGCAGTGGGTGAAGTTGGAGAAGATTGAGTGTGGACAGCAGCTAGGAAGGAAGCCCGGCCTTGAGCAAGAGGACATGGAGGGGTGCTGAGGAATTGAGTCGAAGCTGGTGGGGTATGAGATGCTCACAGGCTGTCAAGGTAAAGAGGCAGCTGGAAACGGGCCTCTGGGCCCCTCAGTCTGGCCAGAGGGAAGGGTTTCAGCCAGGGTGGAAGGCAGGCTTGGGCTCTGAGCAGTGCTAAAGGGAGAAGGCAGGGCTCAGGGCAGAACCTTGCAAAACAGCAACATAGGAGTAGCAGCTGGACTAAGGCAGGAAGCCTGGGGCCCAGGAGCCAGGGAGAGGCCCTGCCTCCCATCACCAACCGCAGCTCCAGCCTTCCCTTCCTCTGCAGAGGCAGGCTGGGAACCTGACCACACTCCTAGACGTGCTGCAGGGCCGGCAACAGATCCTGCAGCAGAGCTTGCAGCAGGGAGAGCACTTGATTGGCTCCACCCGCCTCCACGACCTCTACTGGCAGGCCCTAAAGATGCTGGGAGTCCAGTACGTTCTGGGAGGAGGACCCTTACCTTGGGAGGGGGCTGGGAAGATCCTCCCGCCAATGCTGCACCTGTTTTGGTTTGCGTGCTTGGGCATGGGAGCTTTGGGTACCTGGGTCCCACAGGAACAGAATAGGTAGAGGTGGCCCTGCCCTCAATGGATACTTTCTTGCCTTGCTCACTACCTCCCAGGCGCCCCAAGTTGGAGAAGAAGGATGCCAAGGAAGTTTCCAGTGCCACCCAGAGTCCTGTTAGCATGAAGCGGAAGAAAAAGGGGTTCTTGCCAGAGACCAAGAAGCGTAAGAAACGCAAGTCAGAGGATGTCACAGCCATAGCCACCAGTGAAGACCAGCCCCCAAGCACAGGCAAAAGGAGGAGGAAGAAGATAAAGGCCAAGTCCTCAAAGCTGCAAAACAGAAGCGAGAAGTTGTCCCAAGTGAATGGAGTCACTCCCACATCCCCAGCAGAGCCTGCAGGCAAAAAGCAACAGCAGAAGGCTCTTCCCAAAAAGGAGGTCTCAGGCAAATCTCCACAGACCGCCCTGCCTCGGAAGAAGGCAAGGCTGTCTTTGGTCAGGAGCCCTAGCCTGTTCCAGGGTGGGGCCAAGAAAAAGCGAATGATGCGCAAGAAGGGGCGAGCGGCGCAGACGCCCGCCTGCCCTTCCTCCTCCGCTACCAGAAGCCCCGTAGACTCCTAGTTTTTTCACAGTTATTTTAATAAATAAGCTGCAGTCTAAGATACCAACTGCTGCCTCTGGGGAGTGGGTCAGTTGTTAGTTGTCAGGCCATATTTCCCCAGGGGTCCCAGGGTGGTACAACCAGGAGCTGTGGTGTTAAGTCAGGCCAGTGCAGGTGTGATCATTTCCTGAGTGCAACCCCCACCCATCCCTAGACCATTTTGCAACAGGAGCCATCAGGACATGATTTAAATAGGTTTATTTCTTCATTTACAAGAGGAATATATTTGGCTTCTCTCTTAAGACTCTGAGATTCACAATCAGCAGCTCTAAAAAATAAAGGAGCAGTTTGGCTTCCGGAAGGAAGAGGAGGCAACACTGGACCTGGTTCTTGTACAACAAGAAAACATTGCTGGGGCCCCGGCTGAGGCTGGGTGGAGGCCAGACTGGTCTTTGGGGGATACCATCCCCACCCCACTCCCTTGTCCAGCCCCCAGGGTGCCCCAGAGCTTGGTGGGGTGGGTATTCCACTAGCTAACACCACTGAAGCCACAGCCAGCCAGTAACTAAGGGGCAAAGGGAGCATTGTCCAAGCTCAGGGTCTCCTATGGGCCATGGCAGCCCCTTGGGACCAGAGCCACCTTGATTGCAGCAAATGTGCAAGGGGGTATGGAGCGGTGGGGATCAGCTCCCCCAGGGGCTGGTGTGAGGTGACAGCTTTACCCTAGTGTGTGGTTTCAAGGATAAGTGTGTGTGTGCACAAAGATGGGACTGGGTGAAGGCCTGCCCCCCACCCAGAGTTAGCTGGGAGTGTGTGTGCGCGTGCCTGTGAACCATTGCAGCCTGTGGCTGGTGGTGTTGGCTATTGGACAGGCCTCAGCCTCCACAGACCATCTCCTGGGCAGGAAGCTGAGTTCATAGCTGCTTCCTCCAGCAGCCAGAGCGCTGGCTACCACCCCCTGGGTTCTGGGAATTGCTCTCTGGGCCCCATCCTTGGAAAAGGCTCAGCCAGCCTGGGGGGAGGGAGTGGGCCCCTGGCTATCTGTGAGGTGTCAGTGAAGGTGCTCCAGGGGTCCAGCAGAGGTGGGCTAATGGGTAGCTCCCAGAGATTTCAAGCCTGGTGTGCAGCTGCTGCCAGGGCCTCTACCCCTGCTGATGCCAGCTCCCTGTAAAGGGACAGTCCTCACCTGAGACCTCCAGGTGAAGAGCCAGCCTAAGGCAGCAGGGACAAGTGTCCTTCAGAGTGACCAGCCAGGGTAGGAAGCACCCAGTGAAGGGTGCTGGGTTCCATGTGCCAGCTTGAATCCAAGGTCAGAGCATGGTCTCTGTGCCAAGACCTTCACGGGGCTTCAGAACTTGAATTGTGGCTCTGAGGCCTGAGCCATCTCTTCTCGGTATAGTCCAGCACCCACTGGGTCTTCAAAGCTGTGTAGAGTGCATTGCCCAACATACTGTGCGGGGAAGTCCAGCCCCCTGGCCCCATGACCTTGGGAGGGTAGGGGCTTGCCCAAGATCACATAAGCTGGTGGCAGGCCAGGTTCTCCCAACACACCCACTTGGGGCTGTCTTCTCCCTTGGCCCCAGGGCCCCTGAAACCCAAACCCAGGACTGGGAATCTGTCCAACTGAGTGGCTCCAACACACACAGCCTTCCAGGTTAACTGAGGACGCAGCCTCCTCTTGGAGCCAGGGCCACTCAGCAGTCCTAGGCCATAGAGAATGGGTGCCCAGCTGTGAGTCACACAGAAAGCTTTGGGACAGCCCTGTAGGTCCGGGATGCCGAAGGACATCCCCCAGACTAGGGAGGAGCAAGGGTTCTTCACTGTCCCAGCAGCACCTGAAGGGGGAGATGTTAGGTCAGAGGTGAGGCTTTGGGGGCACATTCCAAGCCTTCCCTCCTTCATTTCTTTGCTGTTTGGGCCAACAGGCCTTCCTCTGGAGGCCGAGACTGGTCTTGCACTGCCAGGGAGCTCTAGTTCCTGAGGCCAGGCCCTAAGGAAGATCACAGCAGGAGTTGGGCTCTGCCAGCTCTAGGAAGATTTGGAAGCACAAAGCTGGGGAGTTCCTGGTCAGTCCCAGCCCTGACCCACACCTCAGCGCTTCTGAGGGAGGGAGGGAGCTAATCTACCAGAAGCCTGTCTGCCTTGCCTAAATCAGTAATCTCGGGGCAACACTGCAAGAAGAGACCAAACCCAGGGTTGGTGGGATGAGCTTCTCGGGGATGTCAGGGAAGTTGCTCCCCTAATACCCTGTCCCTCTCCCACGGGTCTGTGGCCTGCACTCACCACCTCAGACTTTCATGGATGCGGGTGGCATCACCAGCTGGTTCACCCTGGGGGAGAGACGGGCTGGGGTCAGGGTGGCGCATCAGCGGGGGCCGGGCCCGGGCACAGCTCTGGCACATCGCATCGCAGGGGCCGGCTGACCGGAGGTGCTGGGCAGGGACCTCGTCAACCCCAGGGGGAGGTGGGAGAGCCCAGGGGTGAGGAGAGAGAGAGAAAGAGAGGAGTAAAGAGAAGAGGAGAAAGAAGTCAGAAAATGAGAGGAAAAGGAAGGTTAGAGGGTCCCAGCTCTGAAAACCCTGGACCTAGGAACCCAAACCCCATCTAGAACGACTGCAGACTACCTGGGGCCACTACTGGCCCAGTGTGTGATGGAGGCTGGGAGCTGGGCCTTGGTAAGGCCTGTGGCCCAAGTGTGGTGGGCTGGGCCCTGGACTACAGCAGCAGGTTACCCCCACCCAAGGACAGCGTGGAGGGGCTGCCATGCTGTCCCTGCTTCACAGGGCCACCCCCTGCCCCACTCACTGCTGCTCAGCCTTGGCACGGTCACTGAGGAAGAAGAGAGCAGTGGCGAGGAAGAACATGCCACCCAGGACCACGACGAAGGGGCAGAGCATGAGGGCATAGCCCAGGCTCAGGAACTCCCAGAGCGGGGAGTCCTTGGTGCTCTGGCGGATCAGGTCCGAGATCTGTGAGGATTTGGTGGGGACGGGGTGAGGGCAGGGCCACCTCCTGAATTCCCCCAACCTCCCCAGGCCAGTCCCACTCTCTGAGCCACTCACAAAGCCTATGAGGTAGGGGCTTCCAGCATCGCCCAGCAGATGAGAGGTGAAGCTCTGCAAGGCCACAGCGGTGGCCCGGCGGGTGGGAATGACCACGTACTGCAGGAGACAGAGGCAGTCAGTGGCCGGAGGGGCCAGGCCCACCCCACGCCCAGTCCTATTCCTACAGTATGATACTTCCAAAGCCCCTACTGCCTCGGACTCCTGCCCTGGTGTCTTCCCCTTGCCCCTGGGGGTTCTTCTGTCCCCTTCCCCTGCCTATCCTGTAGGTATGGCTGTCCCTGTGGTTCCTCTGCTCTTCCTGCCTGGAGCTGTATCATACCCACAAACAGCTCTGGTCACTACTGTCCTCAGCCCAGGCCACTCTGTCCTACTCTAGACCTCCGCCTCAGAGACAGAAACCTTCATCTCCATCCCTTACCACATCCAGTCAAGGAGAGAACAGTTTGGGGGTTCCCTGGTACCAGCCCACACCAGCTTCTTCAGGCCAGAGTTCTTTGAGCCTTTGGGAAGCTGAACCCTGAGGAAGAGCTGCCGCCTCCCCGACCCACTCTCCTCTGCTCAGGATGCTCTGCACTTCGCAGGGAGCCAGGTGCTATGGTCAGTGGACACTGATGCCCAGAGAGGAGCCAGCCATTCCTGTGGATCACACGGAGTCCTGCAGCTCTAGAACTAGAACTATGGCCTCTTGCCCTCACCTCCCACCAAACATCTTATGTCCCCCTCCATGTAGACCAAGCAAGACTAAGGCTGGGACAGTGGGGACATGTGGAACAGGGCCCTGACCAGAAAAACTTCCTCTTGAATCTATGGGCACCCCATGTACTAAATGCCAAGAATGGCTGGGCCTCAGACACACCCCTATCAGTCCAAGCAGGCTCTGACCCCCCTCCAAGTCAAACAGAAAGGGTGGCAGAAGAGCAAAGCACGCAGGGGGTGCCCTTTGTCCCTGAGCCCAGCCTCATCAGCTCATGGTTGTGGACAGTGTGGGAGCAGTCAGCATCCACGGGGCACCGTAATTGGGGGAGAGAGACCTGGATCTCCCAGGTTAGATTAGATTGCGTGGCCCCATTTCCAGCAATAATTAGTCACTTAACTGTGACACTTAATAAACTGGGACATGATTTCCCTGGGATCCAGACCTTGTCAGCAGCTGTCCGGGGCTGCCCCTGGGGATAAGGCAGGGAGGAAGTGCTGCCTGGCACCAAGGGCTCTTGATGCACACGGACTGGCTTCCTGCTTCACTCTAGGGCCATCCAACCCCTGCCACCACCCAGCTCTGCACTGAGACACAGAACTGAGTCAGAAGCCCACCACCTCCACCCAGACATGGACTGATGGGGGACAAAGAGCGATGGCAAGGGGAAGCAAAGAAGAGGGAGGCTTGGGGCGGGGCAGGGCAGACTTCCTGAAGCAGAGGGCTAGCAGGGGCCCAGTGCCAGACAGAATGTGACCTCCTGGGCCGTCCCATGTTTTCAGGCCAGACTCAGAGCACCCTCAGGATCTCTCTCCCCTATACCTCCGGACATTCTCCCCCATGCCAGTCCTCTGTACTTCTTCTCTTAGTCCTCTCCTGACCCTGACCAGGAGGGTCCCCAAGGACTGCAAAAAGGGTCATATCCACCCTGCCACCCCCCCCCCC